GGAGGTTGGATAATAGAAGCCGTTGGAGTCGGTGTGTCCTGGAATAAGTTAAATTAGCCCAATTAAAAAATAGTTATTAATAATTTCATGTAAAACATTTATACAATTTTTTCTATACCTCACTATTAACTTGTTGACGAGTCGTTACTACAATACCACTTTCATCTGCGTCATCGAAGGTCAATTTCTTATCGGCTGAAATTGTAAAAATGTTTAAAATAATTTTCTCTTGAAAATTTAAAATCTCATTGATCAAACCTACATTTGGTCCATTTTAATATCTCAAAGTTTTTTCCACCATTTGGATATTGCCATTTTTTAACCCTGAATAAGAAAGCTATTTTATTAATTTTAAATTATAAAATATGAATTAATTGATAAATGCACACCAAGATTGAACTGGTAGTAATAACGCTCGTTTCAAACGATCGTGATCTGCAGCGTAGCCACGGAAGCCATGGTGTCGTGAGGGTCTGTTAGTTGACATTTTTTAGATTTTTCATTAATTTTTTTTTTTTTGACCTTAATTATTTGTGATACAGTACTAGATCTATTTTCAGTATACCGATACGTATATATTTGATAATCCAAGTGTGCCATTTATCAGTTATTCCGTAACAGGTAACCTGCAGATTTTTAAAGAATATAAAATTTTTCTTTTGTTTTTTTTTTTTTTTTTTTTTTTTTCGTAAATGAAGGTTCTTCAACAGCGTCAGGAGTGATATTTTCGTCGTCGTCTTGAACGAATTATATATCTAGTAGTTACCGGATTCGTGATTCATGAATTAAACTCTGAAGAAAATTTGAATTGAATCACTTGATCGAGTTAACTTACTTCGTTATAGAACAATTCTGTTAAGATGTTGGCTGCCGACCAGCTTCCTTTAGGAATTAACGCCTCAGAATCTCCGATTCAGGATGATACGGGTGAATACATAATACAAACATATGTATTAGCTATTAGCGCTATTTTCCTGCTAATCTTCGTTTGTTAAATAGGCAAAGCAACTTTCTTGACAACTCAACTGATATTCGCAACTGCTATAGGCGTAACTTCCTTTTTGCTATTTTGTCTCCTTCGAACTCGCTGGAGCACAATGTTTGCACCGAGGAGCCGTTTACGATTAGAAGGGTGCGTTGCGTATTTATACCAACTACCTTTTACATGCTGTAAACTTATCATTTTTATCTTAAAAGACTTGCCCCCCAATCTCTCCCTGATTCGTTTTTTTGGTGGATCGTTACATTGTTCAAAATACCCGAATCTGAGGTTTTGGATCTCGTAGGCTTGGATGCTGCTGTAGTATGTAGCTTTTTTTTTTTTATATACTATTAATGGATACTCTATTGTGAATTTCACACTGTAACTAACTTTTTCTCAACAGCTCTTATCATTCTTTGTAATGTCATACAGATTATTTGCAGTTTGCAGTTTTTTCGGACTTGTTGTACTTTCTCCAATAAAGTTGACTGGTTACATGCCTGGTAACTATAGCAAAAACCCGCAAGATGATAATCCAATAGGAATTCCTGAAAATGATCAATTAGAATCTTATGGAATTCTGTTATCATATGCTATATTCACTTGGGTTTTCTCATTTGCAACGTTTTATTTCACGTATGAAAATTATCGTGAATTTTCAATAATGCGACATCGTTATTACTGCAAATGGAAAAATACTATTAGTGCGAGAACTGTGATGGTAACCGTACTACCAAAAAATTTACAAGAAGAGCCTGCGCTCGCTAAATTTTATGATTCATTAGGTCTGGGTACGGTTGAAAGTGTAGTTGTTTACAAGAATGTACGAAAGTTAAGGCACGCACTTGAAAAGCGCACGTATTATTTAAGAGAGCTTGAAAGGTCCTACCGAGAATATTTGGGAAATCCTTGTGATTATCCTGATTATGATCCTATTGAGGCACTCAATGAATTCGAACTAAATAAAAAAATTACGGTTCTTCCAAATATTCATAGAAAACGTCCAACAATTCGGACTGGTTGTTTATATTTATTCGGCAAAAAAGTTGATAAAATTGATTATTATACGGATCTATTCAAATCTTATGATGAGTTGGTTGAACAAGGTAGACATGGAAAGTATAAGCCTACGTCAGTCGGATTTGTGACTTTTGAAAATATTACTAGCGCGGTAGTGCACAATTTTGATTTTCATAATAGGATAGATATCATACATTATTACGTTTCTTACTATTAATGTTCAAATTTATAGCAACTAGCCGCGCAAGTTCTCATTTATGATGAACCATTTCAATGCCACACTACAATGGCGCCTGAACCTTGGGATGTGTATGTTTAAATTTCAAGCGTAAATTGATTATTATTTCTTCGTAGCACAATTTTTTATAATTATTTATTTGATATTATAGATACTGGCACAACGTTATCATTCGTAAAAGAGAAAAGCTCATTCGTACTGTAATAGTAAATCTTGTGATTATTTTGATGGTATCTTCCTGGGGTTTGGCTACTTTACGTATAGCTTCGCTATTGCGATTATCAACTCTGGATAAAGTATTCCCATGGTTGGCAAATTTGGCTAAAAGGAACAAATTTTTGAAATGGTTTATTCAAAGTACGCTTCCGCCCATTGCACTTACCGCATTAAATAATATATTGCCACCCAAATTAATGTCTTGTATGTCTTTAATTTAAACATTATTTATAAATTTATAAATTATATATCTGTATATCTAACAACTCAGATATGCTTTTTACAAGACTTATCTAGTATTCAAGGATTTTATACTCGTAGTACAATCGAACTCTCTACATTTGCAAAGTACGTGTCTTTTTTATACTAAAAAGTTTGTTCATTCCATATATTTATAACATTTATTTTTACGCCCATATTAGATATTTTTTTTTCTTAATCTTGACCCTATTTGAAATACCTTTTGCAAGAGCACTATTAGAAGATATCTTTGAAAATCCCAAAGACATTGCAGATCAACTCGCGAAAACTTTACCAGGAGTAAGTTTTTCAATTTGATCAATTTGATCAATTTATGAATATTAACTAATTTATTAACCATTGACTAAAAATAATTTAAATCTTTAAGTCTGCCCCTTTGTTCATTAACTTAGTTGTCCTTCAAGGAATTGGATTGTTTCCAGTTCATTTATTACAAATGGGCGAGATTACTTTTACCTTGTTTATGCGTATATTCGTTGCAAAAACTCCAAGAGAATATGCTGAAGCTAGTGCTCCTCCATTTTTGGATTATGGTCAAGAATTACCGCCCATCATTCTAATTTTCGTGATTGTACTTATATATTCTTCTATCACACCGATAATTCTCCCTTTTGGTGCAATATATTTTTTCCTGGGTTATTTGACATATAAATACTTACTATTATATGGTATGTGATTGCATAAATTATATTTATTTACACAATTTTTT